CGGAGCGTGGCGCGGGCTGGCCGGCCGGCGGGGACGGGGCGCGGCGCCTGGAGACTCCCCCTCTCCCCACCGAGGCCGGCGGCCTCCCTGGGTGTCACCTCCCTCCGCGCTGCCCAGCTGCAGGGAGACCCCGTCCCCTCCCACCGCTCAGGATGGCGCTGACATCACGCGAGGGGGAGATGCGGGGATCGCTTCTCGGAGGGGCGGGGGGTGGAGGGGAGATGCGGGGCCACGTGCCAACCCGCGGGCGGGCGCGCTGCGCTGCGCTGCGCGTCCGGCAGGCCCCAGCGCTTACTGAGGCCCCGGGACGCTGGGCTAAATTAACCGGCAGAGCTGGATTTAGGGAAGACGGGGGGGGGGGGGGGGGGGGGGGGGGGGGTCCGAGGGCCACCTTTTGTCCCCAAAGAAAAGATGTATGATCAAGAGGCATTTCTTTCCTTTCCAGGGATCGTGCCCTCTCAATTGGCTGGATTTTAGTTTATGTTTGGGGAGTGGGGGGCGGGAGGGGGAAGGGGAGTCGTTGGGTTTTGTTGTGGTTCTTTTAACCTTATTTAGGATACTCCTAGTCTTAACTCCTAGTCTAAACTCATAAAATAGGAAACCAAGATACAAGTTATTTTTCGTTTTGTTTTGTTTTTTCTCATCTTAACTCTTCAGGAGTGTGTTCTCAGAGGCTGTTACAACTGATTTTTTTTTTAATTACAAACCAGTTCAGTAATTAGTTACATATGTATTTTTTTGCTTTATTTGAGGAGAGGTTTGTTTGTGGACAAGTAACCCCGCACTTCAAGCTGGGGAATCAGATTTGGTTAGAATTGTGGCTCTAGGATTTCAGTCCTGCTTCTAAGACCTGAGTCCAGAACTTCCTGTATTTGGGATTCCTCATTAATGACAGGAGACAGTAAGGCCCCATATCTTCACTTAGGAGGAGGGTTCACAGAGGATGGGGTTTCCTGGTGGTTCACAACCACACAGATGAGTCATCTATTAGTGTTATTTAATTTATTGTTTTAGTTGTTAATTTCATAAAAGAGAAGCATGTACACCTCTAAAATATCAGAATGAATATGCAGTCACCCATCCCCCCCAAATTGTGTTGGGGGTATGTTCGTTGACAATATTACATTTCTCCGAAGCTACTTTATTCCAACAATTCATTTGGTGAAAATAATTGTTAATTAAGCTGAAAAGTTCATGTTATAGTAGACCAGGTTATCTTGAGGGGAGAGAGCAGGGTCACACTAGTTTACCAGTTATGGCAGAAGGCAGCAGGAGCTTTGTTCTAGAGAGGAAAAACTCTTGGGTTCACACTCATCCCTCCCAATTCTTAGGCAGCTTCTTCACTTTGATCTTTGATCTTTGAGTTCCCCCCTGGTTAAATCTAAGGACCGAGTCTTTTCTCACTCAAAGTGAGCATTGAGGAACTGTAAGTATGACCCAGTCGTTGTGAAGGTCTGTGCAGTACACACGCTGAGCATTGTGGGACATTCCTTTGTGAGCCACAGGCACTAGTGTAGGTTATGGGGGGAGCCTTTCCCAGTGTCACTGCTTCCTTGACAGCTCCATGAGAGCTGTTAGTAATATATCTTATTTGCTTCCTACCTGCCCCACTGACTCAGAAACTCTGAAGTTAGGCCCCCAAGCTAACTGGGGAGAAGGGGCTGGGAAGGCTAGAGGAGGTTGAATTCTGATGGATTCTACAGTTTAAGAAACACTGCTTCATGTAGTACTTCTTCATGCATTGTGTCCTATGAACCAGTCAGCTATATTTCCATGAACATATGTTTCTCAGTGCTGAACACTACATTATTTTATTATCTCATTAGGTCTTTTATCATCAGTGAGGTGGGCCGTACCTTGTATTTCCAGCTTCAGCCACACTGACATCCCCCTACCTACAAGCCTAGTTTCTTCCCAGCTCAAGGACTTTACCTAGAAAAGTTTCCCCCATTATTCAGGGCTCAATGTAAGCACTCCCCCTCCCCATCTCTGAAGTTAGATCCCATTTGTAACATTTATTACAACAGAACCTTTTACAGTATAATTTGTTGTTTATATCCTCATCTATTTAATGCATATACTTATTAGTTTTTAAGCAGTGTGGGGCCTGAGACTCTTGTTGGTCTTAGAATGTATTCCCAATACCCAATACACAGTGCTGATCGTATACAAAGAGCTCAAAAATATTGTTAAAAGAATAATTGGGGAAAAAAACTGAGGCGCAAAGAAGTTAAGTAATTTTCCCGAAATCACACCTAGAAAGCATTAGAACCAGGACTCTAAATTCTAAGCATTTAACCATAATACTCATTGCTATTCCAGTGTTTTTCCTTACACTTACAAGCAACCATGCTACTACTGAGCTACAATCCCAGCCCACCTTTCCAGTCTTTGACAAAGAAAATAAAGTTTAAATTCATACAATTTGTAAATACAGGGCTGGGAAGGTGGCTCAGTGGTAGAGCGCTTGCCTTGCATGCCTGAGGCCCTGGGTTCGATTCCTCAGCACCACATAAGCAAAAAAAAAAAGCCAGAAGTGGCGCTGTGGCTCAAGTGGTAGAGCGCTAGCCTTGAGCTGAAGAGCTGAGGGACAGTGCCCAGGCCGAGAGTTCAAGCCCCACGACGGACCCCCCCCCAAAAAAAGAAATGTACAATTTGTAAATACAATCAGAATTAGAATCCATATATTCTAATGACATAAAGATGTTTAAGACATGATAAGAGCAAATTAAGTTAAAAGCAAAGTAAGTGGGAAGTATCTAAAGGGTTGACCTCATTCCTAGTACACAGTAGATGTTCAGTAGATGTTTGCTGAATGGTGTTCACATCTCTGGCCTGTGGAGTATTTACAATGTGTCTCACTCTACTGAGCATTTACACACATATCCAGTGTTTCTCAAAGTGATACCTACGGAACCAGGGAATTTGTCATACATAGTCAGATACCTGAGAGCTTAATCTGATGGCTTAATCTGTGGGCATGAGTCTTGAAAGTCTACTTTTCCTAAGTACCTCTCTCTCCAGATGGTCATGGTGGTTACTACAGTAACCATTAATCACATACTTCATTGGCCCTTGTGCACAACAAAAAGTGTTGCTCAAGAAGTAATGAATAAATACTCATAAATATCGGAGATAGGAAGAGTCTGTAGCCAATTCTGATTCTCAAAGCCAAGAAGAGGAGAGGAGAGGAAATGAATATAGGTGAAATGGAAAACAGGGAGAAAAAGAGG